CACAAAGTATATGTTTATTTTTTAAAAAATAGTTGTTTGAAGGACTGATGATATGTGTCTAACTGTTTCCTCTTTGATAAAGACAGCATGGCCAGAGGTGCACAACAGCTCTTGATTCCAGCAGGAGCACAGAGAGCATGCACAACCTCCTGCCCATGTGATGTTCAGCGAGAATTTCTTAGRATAACCTGTATAGCCTCTGGTGATGGCTCCAAACATGGACTGCTTAAAAAAGCCCTTTTAAACACAGAAATTTGTCTTTGCTTCAAGGGCTAGTCCCATTCTTACAGTTAGCATACAAGTTTAAATCTTTCCCAGTGTTTTAAGTATTCTCACAGTCTTTTCTGCATGTAATGCAGTGAACCCATTCTTGTGCCTCATTTCTTGATTCTTTGCTGTTAGGGAGCCACAATCTTTAGAGAAGAAAGGCTTAGTTGTATAGATTATATAGTATGAAAGGATCTAAATGTTTTTGTTTGTTTTAAAAATGTTATACATGTAATGCTGCATTGTAATGTGCTGCGTTTTTGAAACTTTSAGTATGATAGAATCCAGTTATCCTTTTTCTTTTCTCCAAGTATTTTGTATTGTCTCTGAAAATGTATWGCTATTTTAACTTCACCGTTTTCTTAGCTGTAGAAGAAGGTAATATTAAGTGAGTTTTGAGAGGATGTATGTGACTAGGAGGTTTAAAGTACTAAACATACYCTAAAGTATTAAAAAACTTGGTGGATTTCTTTCCTCTTTAAGCACATTCAGGCATTGGGCTTTTGAGTACCTAGGCTGATCTGTCTGCTGCTCTATGGAACTGAATTCTGCTTGCCCAATTGTCTGCGTAGTTAAAACATTTTGAACATAGCCTATTTTAATGTAACTTCATTTGAAATATCTGCCTRATGGAGAAGTCTTAATGGAATACTTTAATAGCCCAAAGTGGTTACCTGCAATTGCTTCAGTGTATTTCAGTCAATTACAAAGGAAGGCAATATTTAATGTTGGAGTGAAGCTAGATGGTGTAATGAACTGGCAGATTGCCAGCTTGATCTTCTCCACAGGAGAATTTGTATTAATGTGATGCTTTTCATTTATTCTCCAGAAGGTCACCAGTAATACGTCAATTGGAGTTAAAATTCCCACTCTGTGCAGTACAGGTTTATGGTCAGATCATTCTTGTGTATTAGCATATTAAGTATCAAAGAGATTATTTTAGCTATTTCATGTCAGAATTTAAATAARAGGTGGTTGGGTATTGGGAAAAGAGCCTGAGAGAATTGTCATCAAAATTGTTGCTGTGAGGCTGAATCTGGATTTTAGCCATGGAGATAAAGAAAATGGGTCACATTAGAGCTATTAGTGAAAGAAGAGGTGGTTAATAACTGTGGCTGTTACTAGTAATGTAATCATTACATGACCACTAATTTATTCTGTGAGGTAGTAACCTTTATAATAAGGTGCTTATTATATTAGATGTTGCTGATATTTACATTCTGGTGCTCATTTGCAAACATCAAGTTTGAACTTTTATTTCTCACTATTGACAGGAGAATTTTCCAGTGGAACTTTTATAATCCTTGTGTTTGTAAGATCTTGGTTTAGAAAGCAAATGAATTTCTTAAGTTACTATTGAAAAGCGGATAAATTTGTCTTTTTGCCTTGTGTGTTTGTAATGACCTGTTCATCCAATTCCTATACTCTGCCATTCCTAATCTTCATATCATACACTTCAAGGAAAGTGTAGATTATGAAGAGAGTTGTGAGTACTAGGGAACTGTGGCATTTTACATGGGGCAAGGCTGAAATTACTGCAATAGTGGATGAATTGAGGTATGACAAATGGACATCATGGTAAATGGTACAAGAGTGATAGGCACTGGGGATGAGACTGCCCACCTCTGTGCCYCCGTTTGCTTTGCTGCCTTCCAAAAGAAGTTGTTGACGTGACTTCCTGAGTTTTCCAGTGTTGCACTCAGGTGGGCACTGAGTCCTGTGTGCTGTAAGGTTTTTTTGAAGGTGGTTGGAGATTATTTCATACTCTCTAAGTTTAACAGTTCATTCCCCACAATGTCTGTGCTCTCAAATATTTCTCTGTATTCCTAGCTGGTAGGACAAAGCAGGAGAACCAGAAAACTCCATGGTGCAGACTCTCCCTGTGGGCAGGTAGTCCCAAACCCTAACTACTGCTACAATTTATTGACCATTTAGAAGAAAGATCCTGAGCTTCTCTAACTKAAAGATTATTTCAAGGAAACATTTTAAGTGAAATATTTGAGGTCCAGGTTTCCATCCTGCRTTTGTGTCACTTGGCAAATCACAATGTTTTGGGCGAAGCTTTGGACTGTGGGGAGTGTGTGATGGGAATTGGCTACTCCTCTGGGGAAGTGACTGTTAGTGTGACTCGTAGCAGAAAACTTCCTCTGGCTCTTCCAAAGCCAAGTGAAGATTTTTATCATGAGAAAAATAGAAAAGGGGATCACAATGCAACAAGATTGAATYCAGAGAGGACGGAGACCAGTGTGTATCCTGTGCTTGTGTGTCTGTTAAATGGATAGAGTTTTATTTCAATCGAAGTGTTGTTAGAAACGGTGGGGTTTTGTGTATCTTCTTCCTTTTGACTCTTTGCACTATCATTATTAACATTCTGAGCTCCTTTCAGTGTGTGTTAATTGAGCTGCCAAAATAAAACCATTCTTGCTTTACAGAAGGAAGTTAGCATTGTTATATTGAGATAAACACATGACTCATTCTTTTCTTATGCGTTTAGATGACATTTGGGCTCTTTCTTTTCCCCAACTCTACTACTTCTCAATTTAACTAATAAATACAAGGCTAGCTTTTCAGGTATTAATGATGAACAGTGCTGTTTTTCAGCTCTCTTTCAAACACATGTCCTACTTGAGGGTGTGCATTTGTGAAGGTGGAAGCAGTAATTGAGAGAGGCACTGTGCTTTTCTTTAAGGAACAAAACAAAACCCCAAACAAAATCAGAGGCTTGGTACAGCACTTCAGTGATAGRTGGTAATGGGCAGTAGGTGATTTGTGATTTAGGACAAGGAAAGATAGTRCTCTTCAGAAGATCTTTTACCGAAAAAACAAGGAGACTTTTATTTTCTTGTTTTTACCTCTTACTATTAGAAATGTCCTTGTATTATTGACAGGAGAAAAACACMTACTGCAGAATATTCAGGCAGCAGGAAAATAGATCTGCTCTGCCTCAGGGTTTTGATGTTGTTTCGTTCATTAAAGTATCTCTCCCATTTRCTAGATATCTGTCCTATAATTTCAATAGAGCAGTTTTCAGTGGGAACACAGTGAAGATCTATAATTGGTTASAAAAACTGATATAACAAAGTGTGTTTGCCTGTGGTGTGTGTCTGCAGAAAGCTGAAAACCCAGGTGGGGCAGCAACTATTCCAGCCACCACCTGGTAGAGGAGAAAGGATTGGTAACCTCCAGTGCCATCTGCTTTCTGCTGTCACAGGCAAATCTTCATTCAGGTGGTGAAGCAGATCAGGAGGCTCTTCTGTTGAAATTACAATTTTCTCATGATTTGCCATTCTCCATTATTTACTTATTTTTTTAATCTTGTGTGTTTTTTAGGAGGGCTGGCAACAGTTTATCTCACTTGCAGCTGCTGGGGAGCAAGGGGTGAACTTCCAGGAGCTGAGGGTCAGGGAGTCTCTTGTGCTTTACCCCCTAACAATATGTTTAGGCTTAAATGTTTGTCAAACTGTGATGTTAGTAGTTCTGGTACTCCATTTATTAAAGAATCTGAGTCTAAATCCCWCTTTGCAACATTTGTGTAAGGTATTTATAGTACCTTAGAAAAGGTACTATAAAAAGAATACTTTTTATTCTCCCTTCACTTGATTACCCTGCATGGGCTCATTGGGTGACTGTTATTTTCTTCCTAGGATGCTTTTGTAGAGTCTCAACTGGTTGGAATCTGTTCAGAAAATACTTACAGCAGAAACATTTGTGGTTAGTGGCCTGGGGTTATGTAGGAGCTTTAACACATTGTCCTTATGAGATACAGGCTGCAGCACAAGAAGTTGCTCAGAATTTTTTTCTTCTTTTTGAATTGGATCTTAATGGGTTTACACTACCTGAATTTGTCAAACATCCTGTGGTGTTAGAAGGGTCATTGAAAAGCAGAAACATGTTTAAGTACTCTGGCCTCTCTTCTGAACACCKACATTTGTGACTAGAAATACTTAAGAGAACAATGGAGGCCAGGAGAGATGTCTTTGCCACCCAGGTCCTGGCAGAGCTGAGGCTGCACCTAGAGCATGTTCAGGACTCTCCCAGGAAAAATGCCATCACTTCTCAGAGAGTATGTRGCTGTGCTTAGCCATCCTTGTGCCTTCTTTGCATCCAACCAGAATTTCCCTGAATGTAGTTCTCTGACCCTATGGGCAGCTTCACCATCTCTGTAAAAGCTCTCTCTTTTGGGACACCATCTCTTGTGCCAGAAGGCCTCAAGCTATGTGTGGTAGTAATCCAACTGAATTACACATCTGTGTGTGTGTGAGTGMCTTCTGGATGGAAATACTTCACTGCCCCACAAAACTCCTGGCTGTGCTTTTGCTGCTGTATGCCTTTTCCACATGTACAGGCATTTCCTTTTTCTTAGGAAGTACAGTAAAGTTCAAATGACTAATATAAGAGTGAAGGAAACAGTAAAAAATGATGCTTTGTAAAATGTACTCTTTCTAAAACTAGGCTGAATTTTTAATTCCATTTCCTGACTGATTTTTCTCTTTATTATGAAGGCTTAACTTGTACATGGTTTGGATTGTTTGTGGTTAAAATGACCTTATATTCATTGAGAGAAGTTAAATATGATGGTGGTGTCTGTTTATGCTCAACAAGTGGATCAAGTTCAAGCCATTCTACCTGCTCTTCAGGATCTCATAGGAAATTTTGATAGCATGAAAGCTAAATTACCTAGTTGAAAGTGTTCTAAGTTTAGTGCTAGAGYTAAAATATGTTTGTTGTTGCAGGTGGTGGTGTGTATAATTTCGCTGGGGAGTCCTGCCTTTCACTGCCTGGATCCTTTTAACGGTGTGTCAAAGGTGAGTGGTTCAAGTTCGGTGGTTGTTTTCATAACTAAAGATAACAAGTGAACTCAATGTATTGCTTGGTTTTGGTTTTTGTGTAATAGCAGTGTAGTGATTTTTTTTTTTTTTTTAAACTGTTGGATGAATGATTATATAGCAGGTTTTTTTCTGTGAGTGGTCTGGAGCAAATCAGTTCTACCTCTCACTTTCAGAAAAAAAAAAACAAAAAAAAACCCCAAGAAATAAGGTTAGGCTCAAACTGTTAATTAAGCACTTAATACTGCTTCCACTGTTTTATGACTCCTGTCTCGTCCTACCTACTGCTTTGACTTGGGGCGTTTTCCCCTGAAGGTGCTGCCTGAAAGCACCTGATGGTGTGGGAAGTATGGAGGAAAAGCAGTCATCCATAAACCATGGTGGAGCAGGCTTAATATTATTTTTGGTTGAATTCTGAAAACTTAGTAGTAGCTTTGAAAGTGTTGAGTATTGAAAGTATTCAGTGGCAAGAAGGTTTTTGTGTTTTCTGTGAGAGGAGAAGAGAATTGCATTCAATGTGTAGAGAGTATCTTCCTAGGCTGGCTGTGAAGATCTGAAATAATGTGATGAAGCTGATGTTCCTGTAGAATTATTTTTGTGGTAGAGTTTGGCTAATTTCTTTCTGTTAATTGTTACAGTTTCTAGTAGCTGTAGTTGATCTCTCTGTGGCTTGGCAGGAATTTATTAACAGAAACCTTTAATAAATGGAACCTCATTACAACTGTACCAAAAAATAAAAGCAGAATGGSAGCACACCGAATTAACATTCAGCATTGTAATTGCTGCAGCATGGAACAGATTTATTTACTGTTTGGGTTTATTCAGTACTTTACCAGGTGGTTGTATTATTTCTTACTCAAGTTCTCTGTTTATAAAATAAAAGTAATGTTACCTTCTTCAGAGGGAAGTTATGAAGTCCAGTTATTGACATTTTGGAGCCTTCAAATGGAAAGCAATATATTAAGTCGTTGTGTGCCTTGATAGTTGCTGTGAGTTCTGTTAAATATTTGTTCAATCAAGTGCTATGAGATGTTGAAATTAGACTTATTTTTAGGTAAAGTGAAGGTGAACCAGTTAGAATTAAAAATGCAATCCARTCTTAACTGTAGTGTCTCCCTATGTTTTTGCAAATGATTCATTTTCCTTTAAACTGGAAAGGAAATTCTGAGGTAATACTGAGAATGTGGGGTTTTGTGCTGTATTTTCATATTATCTGACATGTGCCCTCAAAAGTACTGTAAAAATTTATAATCCTGGCCTTTGTAGCTGATCAGAGTGTAACCTTGAACACTTAGATGTTTAAAGACTAATAGTGAGAAACCTTTTGTACAAATTTTCTGAAGTAGAAATTGCAGTAGGTTTTCTTTATATTTTTTCTATGATGCATAGGTAGCAAAATTAAAATATTCTTGAAAGAGCTGTTAATGTGAAAAAAAATACACAATCTTAAAAGCAAATGATTCATCAAGCTGTAGACATAGTCATTTTAAGACTATTTTTCTACAATAATTTATACTCAAAATTAAGCCTGTAATTTATTGACTATCAGCCAAATTATGTTTTTGTTTCAAATGTGTAGTATGAAACACATTAGAATTTTATCTTTGGAATCCCTTTCTTGTCCTTTTTTATGGTAGTTTTTAGTTAAATGTTCAATGAAAATAATTTTAAAAATAGTCTGCTGCTCAGTTAAACRAAGTAGGTGTCAGAAATCTTAGTTATGGACTTAGTCATCTTTTCTTGAGCTAGCTTCTGTGATATTTGGCTTATTGAGTAATTTTTTTTTTTCTTAACTCTTCAATCCAGTCAGTGTGGATGGTAACCAAACATGCCCAAAGTGGAGTTCTTTACATCAGGTGGAGGTTTTATATATTTCATCAAAAGGCAGTAAATAGGTAACAGCTCACTGAGAGGAGGTGAGGAAGAACTATTTGGACATCTCAGTTGGTGAGGGGTGTAAGGAGTATCTGTCTCTTTTTTACATCTTTCTTTTTCCTTTTTTTTTTTGAGGTATGAGGTAATACTCAGAATATTTACTGTGTACTATCTCAGTAACAAAACACACTCAATCTCAGTAGCAAAATTAAATCTAAATTTATTAATATTTGATGCCTTTTYCCATTCTTTGTGTGCATGTTTCTGAGGGACTGTATTCAGCTTGGTAAACATGTGAATCTGCAAAACCTAGAGCATTCTAATGCTGTTCCCAAAGGGAATGAATGCATAGGTGTAGGTTCAGCAAAGCCTACGTTTGTAATACTTTGTTGAACCAGAATGTAGCAAACCTTTTGCCCTTTGAAAAGAAATGAAATTGGCAATAAAGTAAATATTTAGAAATTACGTTTKTAGTCCTCACTTCACCAAACTCCAGGCAATAATGTATCCTTATATGATTTTGTTGAGTATGTGGTCATCAAGATGTGCCAGGTCATCTTTTATGCAGCTGGGCAAGCTGGCTTTTTCCTGTCCTCTAACATGATATTTTATGTAGTGGTATTCTGTACTTTTGAACTTGTCCATCATTCACTTGCAGTAATGGAATCAGAAACAAGATCTCATATTTGCACAATAAAGTATTTTGAAAAGTGGTTGCAATATTGATATGTGTCTTTTGTGTTTTAGATGAAAATCTTCTGGAAAATGTTCTGTAATTTTTTGAGACTTGATAGGCTTGTATGGAATGCTATTTAGGGTTACATCCTTACAAAGGAGGGAGATAATTTGATGAGATCAGAAAMAAACTGGTAAGAGCAAAGTTATTGGTGTCTTAGTACTCAGCAGATTTGTCAAAGGCTACRGGACCACAGCATTTGGTGGAAATCCTTGTCTGTAAGGTTTCTTAGAGCAACCATGATAGAGATGAGCTCCTCACATTGTGGGACTGGGGAYGTGCACACAGCTTCTGACAGACTGATCCTCCTCTGTTCAATAGCAAAAAGCACCTTAGACATTTCAGCTTGATGGAACTGCTTGTGATGCTGTATCAGAATATTTATTGGTACTTTTCTGTGATTCAGCATGTTTGTAGTTGTTGATTTTTGAGATTTTTAAACCCAAGGAAAACAATACCTGTTCTCTGTRTTTCACATGATTTAGTTATGGGAAGCTTTGATACTGACAGTTATGAARAGAATGAAAAGTATGTGCTGAGTGGATGTCTGGATTCCTTTCCCTTAAAAAAATATTTCTGCAATTATGCCAATTATCTCAGGTGCCCAAAGTGATTTTTAAGACTTTGAATGCAACTTCAGTGCTACTTAAATATTTTTACAGATGTTTAGTATGATACATGAATTTATAGAATACTGCTTGTTATGCCAGTGGGATAATACTGTCTAACCTATAATTGAGGACAGTAGGGAAGAATACTTTCAACCCGTTCTTAAACTTCCATAACCACAGGTACACACCCTGAATATATTGATTTTCCCTTAATTACATTATTGTAGTACTTTCTTGTTTCAGATTATTCTTTACTGCATTTTTTCTGTTTCTCTTTGTAGTAATTGTGGTTCTCTGGTTGAAATACAGGCATGTTTTACTTTACTAATAAAGTGAAAGTTAAGAATCGGTTGTCTAATTTTTTCCAATTTTGAGAGCTTCAGGTGCAAACTCTTGTTTGTAGGTATCAGCATGACCTATTACAGCCCACAAATATCCTTTGCAGTGTGCTTTAACTGCAATCCATATGGACTCCCCATAAAAGAACACTGTGCAGCTTTTATCAATGYAGGAAAATTAATTTCAGTAAAAATATAACAATGACCACATTTTTCCTGGTGGAAGTAGTTTTGTGGTATGATAGCGAGTATGGACTTTGTCTGTCTTTGCACCCAGCATGTCAGTTTTTCTGGAAAAAAAAAAGAAAACAAACAAAACAAACAAACAAAAAAAAAAAGACCAAACCAAAAAAACCACCGTGCCTGCTCAAAAGAATCTAGCATGTTGCTTATGAATATAATTAAGCTATACATACATATATATATGTATAGATGTATATATGCAGTAGTTATATATGAGCAAGCTAACTTGTTCCTTTATATTAGTGAACTGAGTATAAAAAGAGTCAGTGACTAGCCTTGATGTCTTGACCAATGTTTGGAGGAATGTCTCTGGCAGAACAGGTTATTGAGCCCCTGTTTCATTAGAACTGTTACACCAGTTTCAGTTAAAATATTTAAATTTGTACTGTACTTTTGATGGACAAGTGATGTGACTTAGAATGTGATCTTAAAAAAATACTTCAAAATAACTTATGCAGTTAAACTACATCACAGGTAGGATGTCCTTAGATGCTGAAAGACTTTGTGTCTTGTAGAGTCAAATGTTGGGGAAAGTCAGTTTGAGGCTTTTGGGATGCAGGGAGCAGGGTCAGTCCTTGTGCCAGCGCTGTGTAATGTGATGGGGCTGTGTCAGCGTGGGGCAGCAGCAGAGATCCCACACCCTCCTGAAGGAGGAAGCAGATTAGGAGCTGAGGCCACCAAGACACTGCAAGATGTAACTGCCCCATAAGGAACGGACAAGATCCCCTCTCCTTTGGCTGCCTTGCCTGTTTTGTAGCTTTTGAGGGCTGACTGCTTGAGCTAGTGCTTTGCAGGGTGGGCATGCAGCTGGTGTTGGCTTAGGTCACATAAAATCAGTTGAAGGGTTGTTCCTCCATTTGATAATGGCTAGAAGGCAATTCTTCTGGTGTGGAGGTTTTGAGGGAACTTTGCATTATTCATTGTTCGTATTAGAATTAGTGTGTAGTAGATATAAAGCAAAAACTGTAAAGGTGTATGGTTTTGGTAGTGTTTTTACCATATTCCATATGACATCCTATTGAAATGGTGTGTTTTGCATCAAATGTATTATGACATTAAAAATTAGTTAGGCTTGCTGAAATAATGGTGTTTACTGAATGGGCAGACACTGTATACACAGTTCATCTCACTCATTTAGTATCTGGTGAATGGTTTGGTGTGTGATCTAGATGCTGA